ATTGGGACGACGTCGGAGAGCGACGAGTACTCGGTCCCAAGTTGATCGAGGAGACAACAGATCAGGTCGAGTTGATCCGGCAGAGACTCAAGACAGCTCAGAGTCGACAAAAATCTTCAGCCGATCATCATCGACGAGTCATTCAGTTCGAGGTTGGCGAGCCAGCTTTTCTCAGAGTTCGTCCGATTCGCGGAGTCGTTCGATTCGGAAAGAGAGGGAAGCTGCACCCTCGATTCATCGGCCCGTTCGAGGTTCTTGAGCGAGTGGGCGAGGTTGCGTATCGATTAGCCCTACCTCCCGAGTTATCAGGCATTCATAATGTATTTCACGCATCTATGTTGCGTAAGTACATGTGCGACCTCGATCATGTCATTCCCCATTCAGACATTTAGGTTCAACCAGATCTTTCGTACGAGGAGCGACCGGTAGCTGTACTAGACCGTCAGGTTCGTCGGCTCCAGAAGTGAGATGTTCCCCTCGTGCGTATTCAATGGGATCGCCATGGAGCTACTTGGGAGGCGGAGTCCGATATTCGCGCTCGTTTTCCATATTTTCAGTTTTGATGTACATATTTTCTTGTTCTATGTACATAGTTCATGTATATTCAATTATGTTTTAAATTTCCGAGGACGGAAATTTTTAAGGAGGGAGGATTGTAATATCCCGTCAGTTTATTAATAAAGATCATGTTTTTAATTCCGATATATTAATATTATCGAGTATTATTTTTCGGAATTAATTATTTCAGTCATTTCAATCGAGATTACCGAAAATTATTTTCGACGTTCCGTTTCGTTCGGAATAATTTTGGTAATTAAGCATTATGTTTAATTAATAATTAAACATAATAAGGTGATTAATTAATAAGTTAGTCATGTTTAAGGCATTAAAGCCGTGCGCAATTCTCCCAAATAATTCATTTTACCGTGGGCATAGTTAGTGGATATGTTGGGAGAAATTTGACCTTCTATTAATATCATGAGGTAGCAAGTTTTAAGGTGATTAGTCATCCCTAAATCACCATCTAATCTCCAAGTGTCATTAGCTCCATTAACCACCAAATCAACTCATCAACCTCACTCCCATTCGGTTGATATATATATGTTGGAGTTGGAGAATTTTTCCTCTCATTTCTTCATCTTATATATTCCATATATTCAGCATTGATAGTTAGAGGAGTTAGTGAAATTGAGAGGGAGATAGCACCGCACGTAAGCCACCGCATAGCATCGCACGCGTAGCTTGTCGCACGCACACGCCGCACCGCTGACATCACGCGAGCACCGAACAAGCGAGGAGGTAGTTCAGCTCTCATGTTGTTCTGATTAGTATCATCAGGTTTCGTTTCTATAGTAATTTAAGCTCGTTTTCATGTTTGAACTGCGTTTCGTGTTCGCTATGCGTAAAGCTCACATAGGTCACGTCATGTTTAAAATTCAAAATCTCTTGAGTAATAAGCATGTAATCAGCTTCCTTATGATATATTGTGATCAGTTATTCAGTCTTGTTCGAAAGAACTTTCATGTTTAAGAGTTGTTTGGCCGAGGGAAGTGGCCGCGCACGTAGCGCGTGCCACCGGCCGCTCGTGTTTAATAAATATGTCAAGTTCAGTCCTTTGAGTATTTCATGTCCATTTGTTCAGTAAAGCATGTTTTATGTTCAGTCATGGGTGATTTGCCGAGAGAAAAGTCAATTTGGTCGAGAGACGGCCTAGCGCCATCGGCGGCGCACGGTGCGCTCGCCACGGCTATATTCAGTTATCGTGAAAATTTCATGTTTTCAAGTTATCTCAGTAGTCATGTTCATGCCATATCAGATTATG